GAACACCTTAATTCCTGAATCGGACCTATTAAAATGTAATGACAACATTATATTTAAAAAAAAATTTCGGCTCGGCGCCTGTGGCTCAACTGGCTAAGGCGCCAGCCACATACACCTAAGGTGGCGGGTTCAAATCCAGCCCAAGCCCGCCAACCAACAATGACGGCTGCAACCAAGAAAAAAAAAATAGCTGGGCATTGTGGCAGACTCCTGTGGTCCCAGCTACTTGGGAGGCTGAGGCAGGAGACTCAATTCCTGGCTTGAGCCCAGGAATTGGAGGTTGCTATGAGCTGTGATGCCACAGCACTCTACCCATGGGGATAGCTTGAGGCTCTGTCTCAAAAAAAAAAAAAAAAATTTCCGAATTGGCACCCATAGCATGGTGGTTAGGGTACTAGTCATGTACACTGAGGCTGGCAGGTTTGAACCCAGCCAAGGCCAGCTAAACAACAACAACTGCAACAAAAAATAGCCCGGCGTTATGGCAGGCATCTGTATTCCCAGCTACTTGAGAGGCTGAGGCAAGAGAATCACTTAAGCCCAGGAGTTTGAGGTTGCTGTGATGCCACAGCACTCTACTGAGGGCAACACAATGAGACTCTGTCTCAAAAAAAAAAAATTTCAACCAGTCATGGTGGCACATGCCTGTAATCTCAGCACTCCAAGAGGCTGAGGGAGGTGTCACTTGAACTGAGGAGTTCAAAACTAGCCTGAGCAAGAGCAAGACCCCATCTCTACTAAAAATAGAAAAACTAGCTGGGTACTCTGGAAGGCCAAGGCGGGTTGGATTGTTCGCACTCAAAGGCAGGTTGGATAGTTCGCGCTCACAAGTTTGAGACCAACCTGAGCAAAAATCAAGGAACCCCCCCTACTAAAAATAGAAAAACTAAGGCAAGAAGATCACTAGAGCCCAAGAATTGAAGGTTGCTGTGTGAGCTATGATGCCAGGACACTCTACCCAAGGCGACAGTTTGAGACTCTGTTTCAAGAAAAAGAAACATAGCCAGGTGTGGTAGCAGGTACCTGTAGTTCCAGCTACTTGGGAGGCTAAGGCAGGAAGATCGCTTGAGCCCAGGAGTTTGAGGTTGCTGTGAACTATGATGCCATGGTATTTTACCCAGGGCAACAGAGTGAGACTCCCTCTCAAAAAAGAAAAAAAACTTTCAAGGCCAGGCTCAGTGGCTCAGACCTGTAATCCTAGCACTCTAGGAGGCTGGGGTGGGTGGATTGCTTAAGCTCAGGAGTTCGAAACCTAGCCTGAGCAAGAGCAAGACCCCATCTCTACCAGAAGTAGAAAAACTGAGACAAGAAGATCTCTTGAGGCTTGGTGCCTGTACCTTAGCAGTTAGGGCGCTGGGCACATACACCAGGGCTGGTAGGTTCAAACCTGGCCCGGGCCTGCCAAACAACATTGACAACAACAACAAAAAAAATAGCCGGGCATTGTAGCAGGCACCTGTAGTCTTAGCTACGTGGGAGGGTGTGGCAAGAGAAACACTTAAACCCAACAGTTTGAGGTTGCTGTGAGCTATGACACCACAGCACTCTACTGAGGGTGTAGTGAGACTGTCTCAAAAAAAATAAAAAGAAGATCTCTTGAGTCCAAGAGTTGGAGGTTGCTGTGAGCTGTGATGACACCATGGTACTCTACCCAGGGTGACAGCTTGAGACTGTCTCAAAAAACAAAACAAGGGGCAGCACGTGTGGCTCAGTGAGTAGGGGGCTGGCCCCATATGCTGAGGGTGGTAGCTTCAAACCCGGCCCTGGCCAAACTGCAACAACAACAAAAAATAGCCAGGCGTTATAGTCCCAGCTACTCTGGAGGCTGAGGCAAGAGGATTGCCTAAGCCCAAGAGCTGGAGGTTGATATGAGTTGTGACACCACGGCACTCTACCAAGGGCAATAAAGTGAGACTCTGTCTCTACAAAACAAAACAAAACAAAATAATTTTCACATTAAAATAGCTGACTCTGGCTCGGTGCCTATGGCTCAAGTGGCTAAGGCGCCAGCCACATACACCTAAGGTGGTGGGTTTGAATCCAGCCCGGGCCCGCCAAACAACAATGATGACTGCAACCAAAAAAAAAATAGCCGGGTGTTGTGGTGGGCACCTATGGTCCCAGCTACTTGGGAGGCTGATGCAGAAGACTAGCTTGAGCCCAGGATTTGGAGGTTGCTGTGAGCTGTGGTGCAACAGTACTCTACCCCGGGGGACAGCTTGAGGCTCTGTCTCTAAATAAATAAATAAAATAAAATAGCTGACTCTAGGAAAAATCAGTATTTTCAGTAATGTCTCAAGATACACAGACAACTTCGAAATGAGCAGATGAAGAAAGCAGGAAGGTAATAAAATTAAAATAGGTCTATATAACTTATTTCAGCTATAAATGATAAAAGTAAAATAATTATTGACTTACATAATAAAGTACAACTTTATTATACACAGGTGACATGTTTCTCTGAGGGATTCATTCATTACGGACTGAGAATCCAGTATGTATGTTCAAACATTTTTCATTTATTTTACTTATTTTATATTTTAAAAATAATTTTAGAGCCAGGCATGGTGACTCATGCCTATAAGCCTACCATTTGGGAACGTGAACACAAGAGGATGGCTTGAGCCCAGGAGTGTGAGGCTGTAGTGAGCTAAGATCCGGTCACTACACTCCACCCTGGGTGACAGAGCATGACCCTACCTCAAAAAACAAAACCTGGCTTGCGCCTGTGGCTCAAGGGACTAAGGTGCCAACCACATACACCTGAGCTGGCGGGTTTGAATCCAGCCCAGCCCACCAAACAACAATGATGGCTGCAAGCAAAAAATAGCCAGCATTGTGGTGGGTACCTGTGGTCCCAGCTACGTGGGAGGCGGAGGTGGGAGAATAGCTTGAGCCCAGGAACTGGAGGTTGCTATGAGCTGTGATCCCACAGGGTGACAGCTTGAAGCTCTGTCTCAAAAAAAAAAAAACCTATTAATTTCTTATTTCATTTTTTTGAGACAAAAATCCTGCTTTGTCACCCCAGTTAGAGTATGGTGTCATCATTACAGCTCACTGCAACCTCAAACTCCTAGGGTGAAGGGATCCTCCTGCCTGGACCTCCCAGAGTGCTAGGATTACAAGTGTGAGCCACTACACCCAATCTAAACCTAATAATTTCATTTAAAAAGTAATCTTCACCAGTACATTATATAGAATTCAAATATACTCTTTGTGAAAAGTGAGGCACACTAGGCTACATCTGATTCCCTAATCATGGAATATTTTTATCTGAAAGGCTAATTTAGGAAAGACCATTAAGCTTCTTGTGTCTAAGTACTGAAGGAACAACGGGTATTAAATAAGTGATTTGGAAAGCTTGCCAGAAATAATACATGTCTACAACAGACAGAAATTTTGAAATTATTTAAACATTTTTAGGACAGGCTTAAGTTGTGAGGGGAAAGAACTACATGCTCAGAAAAAGAACTATTCTAGTTCTAGAGAATATGGGGTAAAAAATTAAAGAAAGAGATGGTCAAAATACCAGATTCCAGACTGGTGCCATCCAACAGAAATACAAGCCATATAAACAACGCAAAATTTTCCACCATTCACATTAAAAAGTAAAAATAGGTAGAATTTGTTTTAATAATATCCTGTTTAATCCAATACAGTATTCCTTAGTATTATCCTGATATTAATATAAAAGCGGTTGACATATTTTACCTTTTATTGTACTAGGTCTTTCAAACACTCATGAACACATCTCAATTCAGATTAGCCTATTTCAAATGCTCAACAGCCACTGGCTATTGTACTTAACAGCACAGCTCCAAATTATGGCATATCTGTCCCAGAATTACTGCATGAAAAGTGTATCAAAAATTGTAGCCATATTCTATCTTAAGGCTTTTAGCATTTGAAATGTGCTTATTCTGAGGTAAAAGGATAGGAACGAGAAGGACACCAGTAAAGCAAAGGTGCAGAGACTGACTGCCCCGGGAGAAGTTTCCAAATCTCTTGGAATAAGCCAATGAAGCTACCAAGGAAAATATGACATGCAAGAAGGTGCAGAGATAGAAAGTGAACACCGGATAGGAAGTAGCACAAGGGAAGTAATCTGCCATGGAAGACAAGAAAGGTGACCCAATTAAGGCAGCAAATACAAAATAATGTGGTTACTATTTTTTAATTAAGTGGAGGTTCAAGGTGTACGACACAAGGCTACTGAGAACAGGATTCAGAGATGTCCAACTACAGAATGATCAAAAGAGGAACAGTAGTTTGGGGCCAAAATGGTGAGGGGTGGGGAAGGCTTATGCGGAGAATGTGAGGAAAGAAACCGATTTAGGAAAAGAAACTGTCCCCAATGGTCGCAATATTCTGCCCTAGTAGCTTCAACAAGGAAAGGCGTAGAAATAACCTTGCAGTGCTAAAGACAGACGAAATCTTCCTACTCTCTTCCCCCAGGCTTAAACCTGGGAGGCACCAGAAATAGGTGCGGCTTTGTTGGGGGGCTGAAAGCAAAGTGTCATGATTGCACCCATCGACGAGGTAGGAAAACTCAGGCCCCCAAGACAGCACTGATACCGGCCTCGCCTGGCCCCACAGGCCTCCGGGTCCGGACTCACCCAGGCCCCACGTCTCGGGCCCGCTGCACCTCTGGCAGGTCGCCGCCAGCCCGCGCAGGACGAGGGGAGGTCGGCAGGGGTGTCCCAGAACGCAGGGACCGGTCCCAGTAGACGTAGCCCCACAGGCGGTTCCAGTGGGGTTGACTTCCCTATTCCCACCTCCACTGGCACAGGAAGCACTTTCTGGGCATGAGTGACAGTGATCTACACCAATCGCTGTCTCGGAACTTTACCCCGCTCCTCAAAACGTAAGGAAGGAGCTTCATTTCCCAGAGGAGAAAGAGTTGGGGGCGGGAAGACAGAGAGCCAATAAGAGAAAGGACTAGTATTAGGGGGTGGAGCCTCTTCCATTACTGCCTTACTGCTGTTCCTGAGTATCCCGGACGCACCACTTGCCACGGCCTCTGGGTCCGGGGCTCGCAGCCCCACGCTGCTGAGAGCCGGGGCACCCGGGATTCGCGTCCTTGGGTGCCGCCCCCAGCCGAGGCGCGGAAGTGGGACGCCCTGGCCTCGGGACCACTGTCCTCGCTTTCCCTGCATTGTCGCGAACGCGGTCCGCGGCGGCCGGCGCGATGAGTGCCAACGAGGACCAGGAGGTGAGTCCCCAGGCCCAAAGTCGCTTTTCCCGCGCGGGAGCGGCGTCCCAGCCCCGAGGGAGGGCGGCTGGGCAGCCAAGGCCAGGGTGAGACCTGGTGCCCGGACCAGCGGCCTGGCACGTGCCCTTCGACCCGGGACCCCCCAGAACCCCAAGGGGTGCCTGCCCCAAGTTGACCTCGCGAGGAGAGGCCGATCATGCGTGAGTAGAGTCTGCCTGTGTCCTCCTCCGTCATGTTTCATTTTTGCAAACTCGGGAGTCTCCCTACATTTCTTGGATAGCAAGGGTGAGCGTCCTTGGCGGACGACCCAGGGGAGCTTGGCTTTGCTTCCGTTCCGTTTGTGTGACGCCTGTGTACTGAGTTGTGCGGATTTGGAATCGAATCATCTTTAAGTTTTAAGGTCTCTTAGCTAGTGGAGAGAGTATTAATTGGTAGTTAAATTTCTCAGTCGGGCGCGGTGGCTCACGCCTCTAATCCTGAGCACTGCTGGAGGCCAAGAGGGGTGGATTGCCTGAGCTCACAGGTTGGAGACCAGCCTGAGCAAGAGCGAGTCCCCGTGTCTAAAAATAGCCGGGCGTTGTGGCAGGCGCTTGTAGTCCCAGCTGCTTGGGAGGCTGAGACAAGTGAATCCCTTGAGCCCAAGAGTTTGAGGTTGTTCTGAGCTATGAAGCCACAGCACTCTACCGAGGGCAACAAAGTGACACTGTCTCAAATAAATAAATAAATTTCTCACGGAAGAAAGTGACACAAGTGTCCTTGGTTTCTGCCCATATTGTTTGATGAAGTCATTTATCCATGTCTTAGTTGTCCAGTGGATACAGAATTCTTTCTGGACACACACATACCACCTGAATTGTATGGTTTATGCCCAGATAGCTTCTGTAAGATGCCATTTTCACATTGCTGAATCACATATTAGAGTTGGAGGAGATACAACAAGTCATCTGGGGCGGTGCCTGTGGCTCAGTGAATAGGGCGCTGGCCCCGTATACCGAGGGGTGGTACGTTTGAACCCAGCCCCGGATAAACTGCAACAAAAAATAGCTGGGCGTTGTGGCGGGTGCCTGTAGTCCCAGCTACTCAAAAACAAGTTCATCTGTCTATTGGGGTGCCTTCTCACTTTATGGGTATAGATGAGGGAAAGGATCTGCAAGGGTAAAGTGATTGTCCCAGGGGTACACAGTTGGTATGTGATAGAAACAAGACTGGAACTCAAGCCTCCTTGGATAGTAGGTAAATATTAATAGTTCACTGTTCCTTTACAATGTATTCTAAACGAACAT